TAGGTTATGAGGAATGATAACCGTACCTTTTCAATTGATTGATGTCATTTAGGAAGTAACGTCATCAAACAATTAATTCGCAAACGTTTCCTGTGATGGACAGCTATCAGTAAGAAAATCATTTGAAACCTTGGGGAATCAGGTACTTGTTCTTTCCTGTTTGCGAGTATCCGCGACCCAAAATATCGTTAACTGGATAAGATGAAATAATTTTAGAAATTTAGACGCATCAAAACATGTCATTAATATTAGAATTTACCTACTCGTAAGTAGATGGATTGTAAGTTGTAAAATACTAAGTAAGCAAAACGATTTATTAGCCAGTGTTCTAATGTTATGCAATAAAAGTTTGGATTTTTTTACAACAAAGATTATGATTTGACGGATGTAGTGAAAACTATGACTGAAATAACATACGATGAACACAAGATTAAATGGCATCTTATAATCCATTGGTTAAGACTATTAGATTAAGCGATAACTTATCTACAGGCAGTATTAAGACATATTTAGTTTATGTCAATATCACTAACAGAGGCTGATCTTTTCGACCACCGTGAATTCAGCAGTGGAAAGTTCAAATTACAATCATGAATGAAATATATCCAATAAGATGTTTTATCGAAATATTGTTATAGCTTTAAACAAATGTATGTTGTATTTAAGTCTCGATGAAAGCATCCGAGTGATAACTTCTATGTAGTAATAAACATACAACCTGAACTTACTTTTTAACAAGTGTCAAGTAAATACAATTTAATAAAAAATTCATTATACTGTAGATTCATGAAACAATATAAATATATCACTAATAATACCAAACAAACCAGCCTATGACTATCTTCAGTTGTTTTAACGGTGGTAGTAAGAAATTACAAGCCTAACCAACTATAACAGTATAAAAAAACAAAGGAAACATCCGTTCAGATTAATATCAAAATTATTTTACCCCAGGACAGAAATTCTTTTGTGGGAACCGTAAAGAAATTAGCCTAATTAGGTGATCTCTAAAACTTTACGATTCATATTTATTCAACTTATAACGTTTAAATGTTAAGAAGAGATCATAAATTCGAAAAATCTATTGGCTAGAATTCAGATTTCATACCAAAACGTTAGCATTTAGTTGTTTATATTTCGGATTTCAGTCAGTTCTCTCCTGATATCCAAAGGATCTGAAGGTCTTGAGTTCGATATTTAGTGGGGTAATGGATGTCCAGACTGATGAGTTCAATATTAAGGTGGAACAGCTGTCCAGTGTTTCCTGGTTTCCAGTGATTGTCTAATCAAAGTCAGTATGTGATGTAAAACTGGGATTTCAGTAATCTCTTCAAACCTCTATACTAAAAATACGATGGACTGATTTGTTTAATAAATGGTAAACAAATAACATACTTTGATTTTACGAAAAACATTTTCACATCCCTACTTATGAAACAAAATGCTGGGAAGACCTCAGATTATATAGCTTTTTGCCAAGAAATGGTAGTCCTTACTTGTAAACAAAACCGTGGTAGTTGATTGGATTATGAAGACCTCGATATCTCAAAGGGAAGCACAGAATACAATTGGCAACTTGCATGCAACTAGACAATTTGGACTTCGAAGATGACCTACGCCTCTTATCCCATACACACACATCAACAAATTCACATGAAGACAACTAGTGTAGCAGCAGTCTCTGCATCAGTAAGCCTCAACATACACAAGACAGAAAGCAACATCAACAAATACAACACAGAGAACATCAACTCAATCACACTTGATGAGGAAACCCTAGAACAGGCGGAAACTCCCACGTACTTGAACAGCAGCGTTATCGATGAACAAGGAGGATCTGATGCAGACCTAAAGGCGAGGACTGGAAAACCAAGAGCTACATTCCTACCATTGAAGAACATATGGAACTCAAAACAAAAGACGATGGAATTGGATAGAACATACATTACGGAAATCATCACACTGCATCACCAGGCAAGCGCTAACATGAAATCACCAAGAAACGGAAAAGAGGAAGGCCAAAGAACACAATGCATCGAGAATCGCAAACAGACATCAAAAGGATGAATAGCAACTGGGAAGGACTGCCCAAGACAGGGCTGGATAAAGAATGCTGGTGATCAGCCTATGCTCCTCCATGAGGGGTAACAGACGTAATTAAGTCATGTGATTCCCGGTTAAATTTAGCAGGACAGTTGATAGTATTTTTAATGTTCAAGTGTCCAATGAATTGCGAAGGAATTTACGAACAACAAAGGATATCTTAACTGTTAACAAATCAAATCGAAGCTTACAATTAAGATCATACGAAACGATACCATACTCCAACTTGTTAAAATCAATATAGAAAATGTGCGAATTGATTCAACCCTTTTCAATCACTACCTATGAAATAATGCAATCAAAAGCGATCCTTCAGAATCATTTATTGATAGGTTTTGTATTTGTTTACACATTTCCAAAGTCACCCGTTTTATAGTATTTTTAGTATTCGAACTGCTTTGGTTTATCTTACAGAATGATCAAGCATAGAAAAGTCCCATTCTTACTTCTCTAAAATATAATCACTTATCTGTATATACAGATGCTGACTACCTGGTTGCTGCCCGTGTGATAATAGCGACCAGTGGTAAGTAAGCGAATTCAAACAAACAAGTGAGAACAGAATATAAAAACTAAGGTAATTCTGATAAACAAAATTATGTTCTGTATATATATACTTTTTAAATATACATACAAATATTTCGCATATATTGTATATCTGAAGAGGGAATAGCGCCTAAAAACAACGTAAAGCATCAAGGCGCAAAATAAAAATCAATAACAATTTGATTTCTGACTCACAGAATACTATTAACAATAATAATAACAATAATAGAATGATAATATCAATATCAACACAGTATTTGTCAATAGTCTCCGTGTGATCTGTGTGCATGCTAGTAGTTTTAATCCGTCTTATATAACAAAAATTTGTATTAAATAAACAAGTTAAACATGTAAGTAAAAAGAATTGAACTATTAATTTGACAGTGATAGTAGAAAGATAGAGGATAACCAGAACCTAAGACAAACATATAAACGAAGATTACGTGGTGTAAATTTTATTTGTCGTGACGCGAAGTAAGGTCGAAAAGAAAAGAAATTTATAGTGAACTTTTGTGTCTAGTTAGATCACTTGCTTATGTATATACTGATGCGATCTTGTACAGTATATATATAGAGAGAGAGAAAGACAGTTGGTTACTATGACATAATTTGTCTGAATAGTCTTAATGAAGAGATATAATAGACTGAAAATCAATGGGAAACAAAGAAACGTGGAAAGAAAATCTCCAATTTATTATTTGACTCTATTTTTCATACATATGAACATTTAGAGTATAACACTAACAATCAATCTGCTTTTATAAGAGAAATTAGAATGAAATCAACTCAAAGATGTTAACTAAATTTTAAAGATAAATATGTATATATGTATAAGTATGTAATTATGCTTTACTAATCACAGACGATGATAGATGAACAAGGAGAATATGCAGTTTGTATAATGTGGTAATAATATCATTAAGATGAAGATTGTTATTATTGTAAGCTAATATGTTAGTTAAATATGCCACTATCGTGAACACCAATCTCGTTGTAACAAGTATTTAACCAACTAAAATGATATCATGTACACAAAATATATGTATCTACTTGTATTTCTTGTTACCATAATTTTGAATAATAGGTATGGTATGTATAAAATAAAACAGGAAAGAAGGTAATCGAGTTACATGTATAGTTGGAAGGTGTATGTGTGTTCATGAAAGGGTGTGTAGTAGCAAGTAGGTGGATAGACAGTATTGTGGTAGTAGATAATCACAAAAACAACAAACATATACAGTAGTAGTAGGGAAAATCATGTGAAATTTGTGAGGTAGGTATGATCTAATTGGACATGAGTGTGTATAGTGTGTGCGACTATTACTTTGCTTGTTACATTCATCAAAAAGGGACGAAAGAAAAAAGAGTGCAGATCATCCATTGTTCCTTATGATATCATTTATGATATCCACCTGAAGATAATTTCTTCTTTGACAATTAACACAAAAGCGTCCAACAAATCTGACGACACCTTTAGTTAATCAACAGAATTCACTAGAAATATTGCATAGAGAAAGACATAATCTATTTTTGAAATTGTTGTCTGACAGTCCAACTACTAGCATACTTTTTAAGTAGTAAATATAAAAATATGCCAAAATGAAAGGGATGAACCTATTAATTTTAAAGGTGCAAGTTTAACAAAAAGTACTTGTAAGTAAACAAGGTCGAAGGTAAACAAATGAACAATGAATGCAAATGAAATGAATCCACACATTTACGTGATTTGTGCGTTTGTTTATATATATATGGATCTGACCCTCTAATATTAACGATGATTTGAATAAACAGCTGCCATAAAAATAAAGATACTAGTCAATTTGTTGTTTTTGTTTGTGTACGCCTCTTTTTACATGAATGTATCCCAGTGTTCAGAGTAGTGATAACGATAATAATACTTACTATTATTAATCAAAAAATGCACGTAGAATACACACATTCTATATGTGTATTTATGTATGCGTCCATATATACATACACGAAGTGAGGATTTGAAAATGTTCCAATATTGTGTTTACAAAGTCACGAGAAAGAGGGAAGCCTAGTCAAAGATACAGAGGAAAGACATCTGTGTAAATTTTTTGGACAATTATGTGTATGTGCATACATAAACATACTATTTGCTTGTCTGAACTTCGTTTTTTTACACTCCTACAGGATCTGTAGTAATGGATTGATAGATCAAACAATGATCTGATATCAATTATTGTGCATTTATATTGTAAATATTATCTTCATACAACTGAGAGATTAAAAAAAAGAAGTACATAAGAAGAAAAAAGAATACAGAAAAGTGCTCTGACACAGGAAAGACAAAACTGGTTATTTTCATTTGCTCGATTAATGACATTTTATTGTCCGTTTAATTGACTTGATTGTTGCATTAGTATAATGCGACTCGATTCATCAACAATACTTTTATCGTTATCATTATCTTTGCTAAGAATATTTGATGATTCACTTGTACGATTATTATTAGTATTATTATCACAGTTATCAAAGGTAGTTTCCAACGATGAACAAGTAGTATTGTTAATATTTGTAGTTGTCACAGTAGTAGGATTGATGAGCAAATTATTATTTACATATGTGGTTGGATTAGATTCAACCACAGAGAGAACAGTACTATTAGTACCATTATTATTGTCTTTATTATTACCATTATTAGCACACATATTAGCAGTAGTGTTATTATTAGTCAAAGTAGTAGAAGAATAAGGAGTACTCGTAGTTGTGGAAGTGATAATAATAGTAGGATTACTCACAGATCTCAGTGATTCCATACTTGTAATAGAAGTGAATGCTTGTGTAGGTAAGACAGGATAAAGTGGGCTTAATGTTGGCGTTAGAAGAAAAGATTGTTGAATACTATTAGTATTAATACCATTATTATTAGTAGTATTATTATTACAACTGGAAGAAGTTAAATTTTTCAATAGTTTCCATGTGGATGGTGTAAGAATCGGTGATAAATTTTGTAAATCTGATGACCAATAACACGGTGTTAAATTATTCGACGAAGTTGGATGAATTGTTTGATTTATTCCATCAGCAAATTTAGAAACAGCTTGACGTTGTGCTTTAATGACATCTAAAGGTTGAGCTAATGATGATGAAGATGGTAGTAGAGTAGATGGACGAGAAACAAAACGTGCGACAATATTTTTTCTTGTTGAAGTATCACTCGTTTCTGAATTAGTTCCAGTTAATGTTGACGAAGTTAAACGATTCTGATCTTCACTGGAATTAATTATAAGACTAACACTACTACTACTACTAATACTAATACTAGTAGTAGTAGCAGTATGATTATTTTCAGCAGTATTAGTAGTAGTAACAGAAGTTGTCACGGTAGCAGCGACAGTAGTAATAACAGTTGAATTATTATTATTATTTCTGCTGGGAATAAGAGGGACGAAATTTGTGGTTAAACGATTATGAAAACGTAAATCTGACTTCTGTAAATTCGAAGGAACATTCAAATGACTTGAAATCAATTTACTACTACAATTACTAGTAGTGGTAGCAGCAACAGTGGAACTGTTGACAGTAGGAAATGTTGCCGTTAATCCAGCTGTAGATGAAAGGTGAGATGAAGAAGTTATACATGAAGAAGAAGAAATAGGCAAACGTTCTGGTACTGTAGTTTTTGCTGCTAATGCTGACGACAAAATAACCAGTTTCTCATCACAAAAAGTAGAGTTACTATCCATCAATTCATCCGTTTTACCAAGATCTAAACAATTTTCCAATGATCCAGCACTGTCAGAATATTCTCGATTCATTAGTAAAATCTTCTCAGCAGCTGGGCAACCCGCAATCTAAATTTAAGGAAAAATAGTCAGAAATTCACATATAAGTAAAATCGACAAATTAGTGATTAACTGGAAAAACATGAAATTAATTTCATCATAAACAAAAGTTATACGTTAAAACGATAACATACTATCATTATACATATAAAAGGTAATAATACAGGAGGCGGAAGAGAATTAAAAGAGAAAGATTCTCGATTCATTAACACTAAACAAAACTACAGCATACCTAATAAACATGCAATATGGCAATTATTCACACATTCAAGGAGTGATTCCTTTTGCAGATACTAAGTACAAAACAACACTACAGAAATTTTACACAAGTTAAAACACAGCCATGCATTTGATGTCCGTAACTGTGATTAACTTGAGTGTCCAAAAGTCAAAAATTTCCACTTGTTCTTACTTCGTATCACATCATGACAGCAAAAATAACAATAAATAATAATAATAATGGTAATAATGACTTTATACAAAATAGTTATCTACAAGAAACTCACAAGAAGATCTAATAAAATTATTGTTTGTTAGTCTACTCATTGTGGAATTGGACATGAACATTTGTATCCAATATCTCCCCCCATCTAGAACGTTAATGCTTTAACATCCACAATAACAAATCTCAAAATCAATGTCAGCTATTCACATCAACAGGAACAAATCTTATTTTCTGGGTCGTTTTATTTTATATAATCTGTGACTATTTAATTACCTCTTTTCTTATTGAGCTAATAAAATTGATTTTTGTGGTATATGTATGGTGGTATGAAAAGTTTTTGCTCAGTCAACCCAACCGTGTCACGATGTGGATTCTTGAAGAGATAACACATACTAGATGACTGCAACATATCTCGAATGAGTTAATTAGTCATCAGTAGTCAAGTGGGTAGGTAGTTAGGTGGTGGTGACTACCAACCAGCCACCTGACTTCAGTGTACTACTATCAAAACTAAAAATACTTGGTAAACAAGCAAGTCGAAACTAGTTTGTCAAAGTATTTATTGTTATTGTTGTTACTAGTATTATTACTATTATTACCATTATCATTACTATTATGTACAAGTGGAAGTACACAAAAGGTCAAACAAGCAATAACCATCTTCAATATATTTTCACCACATTGGTCTTCATAAAAATTGAACAAATATTCATGTTCCTTGCTCTTGTAGACAGTAAAAATTAGTCACAAAACTATATTTCATACATTTGTCTGAGTGCTTGTCACTAACTACAACAGAGGAAACAACGATGCACATGACGTGTACACTGCACTTCACATCTTTACCACTGAAACTACCATTCACACTGTTCACATAGCATTACGTGCAGATACTCGAAAGCATTTGGTCACAAACAAATATCGACACAGTATTCGTCGACCAAATGTAATGAAGCTGTCGATTGAGAAGTGAGATACCGTGATTGAGTTTGCTCGGTGGTAATCAACATCCATCATTGACTGAGTCACTTCGAATGTGTGTGTTACATAAGTACTGTTTAGTCCTGTCACTCCGTTTCTCGAAGTGACAATCAGTTGTCAAACTGTTAACGACAAGAAAAGGCAAACTGACAACCAGTCACTTCATATTATCACATTTTACTGTTGATCTCTGTTGTATGTAGGAAGGTGAACGCTTCTGATGAGATTATCTTTTAACCAGTTATTCGACAGTTTAGACTATGTTGTCATCACAGTAGAGTGCAAATGTACCTAATATTTAACGTTCTTTAAATCCTGAAAATGTCACTCTTTTATACAGTGACCAAACACCCTTTGTTTACACTCTTCAAATATTCCATCTTACAATTTATTCCAGTTCTCCCTGCACTATAGTCAACCTTATTATTACTTTCTTTATATCGAATTTTCTCTCACAGTGTTGATATGTTGAGTAAAAATCGTTTTTGTGTCCATTCACTGGACATTACCTTATCTACCTGCAGTGGTTTGTGCACAATTCTCAGTTTAGTTTAGTTCAATTCAGTTGAGTATTGTATTTCATCTTGTGTTTCGAGATCAATCATCCCATTGTTAGTTCATGTCATGTTACGTACATATGCATATATATATTTGTGTGTTTGCATGAGGATAATGATAGAGTTTAGGATTGTAAGAACATTCAGATTGTTGAATGAATATATTCTGTTGAGAAAACTTTCTGTCTAGTATACATTGTAGTTCACATGAACTCGGTAACTCAACATTTGAAGTCACCAAACTGATGTATATGTCAGCATGTTATAGATGAGTGTTTGAATTTTATCGTCAGTTTGAAATAGAACTCGTCATTAGACCTCTTCTATTTAATAATTAAGATTGATAGAATAGTTAGGCATGTAACAAACACGAGATCATATCTGGTACCTCTAACAATATGTCGTTTCGAATTAATTGTACTTGAGAAGATAGTTATTAATATTAATATTATTATTATTGCATGATAAACTATGATCATTTAAATTTTCGTAGACCACTCAACAGATGGAAGTCTACAAATAGTAAATAATCACGTTATTCACTTATCGAACTCTTGAATATGACATAGTTTTGACCTACAAAAAAACTTCTCAAGTTGTTTCAAAATTGGAGTAAATATTTTAACGTTTTAAGTGAATTTTATAAGCATGTTGAACTTTATTTGAAATTCCGATTTTAAAACATTACAGGTTATGTGTAAAAGTAGTTGATGAGATCCGAATAATCAAAATTAATTAACATTATTCTGAATGCTCTGAGTTGTTGCTCCTGTTCTTTATTCATATAACAATATATGTCATATTTAAGTGGTCAAATATTACATTAAGCAGATATAGAAAGTCACCTAACGTTTTGTTAAGTACAGTCAGTTGTAATATCAACTAACACACTAGTGCCCACATTGCAACTTGATCGATAGAATCCAGTTAGTACTAAAATTACACTGGCCACTATCCAATGATCAATCAATTATAATAACATATCAGTCCTATGGGAGATCAGTCGCGGCTCGGATAGCTCAGTAGCAACGTCTCCGGCTGTGAAGCTGAATGAAACAAAATCGAATTCGTCAGGGAGCATCAGTTCCCTCAAGACTACAGGTATACCTTAGTGACGAGTACCAAATAGCACGAAACCTAGGTATATGGTTGTTTGTCGACTACCTTCAACCACTACCTTACAGCTCAAAATAGTGCACGCGATGTTGAAAGTCACCTAGTCAAATGGCCACATTGCAATTTGGTCGACAAGAGTCGATCTGTACTATGAAAGACCTGACACATATGACACTGGTCACTACCCAATAGGCAATCAATTGTAAATAACACATTCCTCAATTGTTTTTGTTTTCAAAAAACAATTAAATGGTAACATTTACTACGAACAATACTAACACAACATAATTTTATAAATAATGGATTATTATGGCGTTAACTGGATTTCGATATTTCCTATCTTAGTTCAATCAAATAGTAACACCAATTAAAATCATCATTCTGAATATGTATGTAGTCTAACTGAATAATATACAAGATTTGGGACACGCCTGTTGGTGTTTGGATGTATGTGTTTCTTTTCCAAAACAAGTACCGTAACGTTGATGAATTATTCAATCGTTCATTCATTTAAACAAGGTTAATCCATACACAAAACGAACGAACCCGTCTATTTATAGTTATTCTAATCCAACTTAAAATCGAAATATTCCTTCCATTCAGTGCAGATGTCTGTGTTGATGTGGAGGAAGGTATGATGAAATTAAGTCAATAAATTCAAACACCGGTAGGTCTCAGCGAATAACTCCAGTGAGTTTTTTCCGTGTATCGCCTACATTTAAGTAGAAGATAGTATTGTGTGATGAGATGGTCAACAAGAAAAGAAAACAATAAAATTATCAAGACAAAACGATAATTTCATATTGACTGAGTAGTAGACTGTTGATCATAATGAGGAAAATTTATGATACACAGAGAATAAAAAATTAACTCATCTTTTAAGTTGACGCAAGTTTAAAACAGTTCAAAGAACAAAATACTGAGACCGAATCGTTAGTACATACAAACACATCTGATCATATCATCATCTGGGTCAAAGGTGATTCAATATGAACATATGAATGAGTGAGTGTGTATAAAGGTTGCATATTTACAATGTGATCCAGTGAATGATCAATAGTTTCATTGACAAGACAAAATTACTGGGATACTTCGCCTGCTACATATGTAATAAGCAAATATTCAAGTAACATTTTGTATTTGACAACTCAGAGAGATTAAGGACTTTCTGTCAGATGTGTTCTGAAAATAGTGGATTTTATCAATTTCTCCGCTCAGCGATTGTACTAAAAACTAATAGCAAGATCTCACGGGAAGCTAAGAACAGCCAAAATAGAAAAGATATATCCTAAAAGTACGTTCATTTTCGTTTACGCCTGTCACCCCTCATGGAGCATAGGGCGTCGATAAACGATCTCCAATCTACTCTACATTGGGCTCTGTTTTCCAGTCGTTTCCAAATCCTGTTCGTCCTTTTGATGTCTACGTCCAATTCTCGGTCAAAAGTGTTCTTTGGTCTGAATCTTTTCCTTTTGTCTTGTTAAGTTTTGACTTGTGACGCTGTTTCATTATTTAATGTGTGTCGTACTCGTCTCCAGAATCTTTTCGTAATTGCCCCCTCAGTTGAAAGTGAATTTCACAATTGATTGATCACTGGGTAGTGATCAATGTCATGCTTGTCTAGTCCTTATTAGTGCAGATCGAATGCTATCGATCCTGTTGACTACCTCCAACCACCATCTGAAAGTGAATTTGTTCTGTACCACAACAGGTTATTGCTGGTGGCGTCTGATCAACAGATCTGGAGTATCTTGAGTAGACAGCTGTCTACAAATATTTATACTTTTCTGGTGATTGCGGTAGTAGTTCTCCAAGTTTAAGCTTCGTACAATAAAAGCGTTGTAACGTTCGTATTGAAAGTTCTGATTTTCTCCTTGGGTGACAGCTTTTAAGTCCCAGATATTCTTCGA